CCTGGAGGCCGTGCGGGCCTGGATGGGGAGAAACAGGCTCCGACTCAACCCTCCCAAGACTGAGTGGCTGTGGTTTCCAGCTTCCCGATATAGCCAGCTGGTGCCATCACTGGTTATTGGGGGCGAATCATTGGCCCCCACGGAAAGGGCTCGCAACTTGGGCGTCCTCCTGGATACATGGCTGTCTTTAGAAGAGCATATGATGGCTGTGGCCAGGGGGGCTTTTTATCGGGTTCGCCTGATACGCCAGTTGCGTCCCTTTTTAGATCGGGACTCCCTAAGCACGGTCACTCAAGCACTCATCACTTCCCGTCTGGACTACTGCAATGTCTCTACATGGGGCTCCCCTTGGGGTGCACCCGGAGGCTCCAGTTGGTCCAGAATGTGGCCGCGCTGGGGATTATGGGAGCGATGGGGCACTCCCATGTGACACCTCTCCTGCGCGAGCTGCACTGGCTTCCTGTGGTCTTCAGGGTGCGCTTCAAGGTGTTGGTGACCACCTTTAAAGCGCTCCATGGCTTAGGGCCAGGGTATTTACGAGACCGCCTTCTGCCGCCACTAGCCTCCCACTGGCCAGTACGCTCCCACAGAGAGGGACTCCTAAGGGTGCCGTCGGCCAGACAATGTCGGCTGGCGACCCCCAGGGGGAGAGCCTTCTCTGTGGTGGCACCTGCCCTCTGGAACGACCTACCCCCAGAGATATGCACAATACCAGACCTCCGGACTTTTCGTCAGGCCCTGAAAACACATCTTTTTCACCTAGCCGGGCTGGCTTGATCCCATCCCTTCGATTTTAATTTGTAATTGGTTTTAACCCGGGTTGTTTTAAATGGATAGCCAAAATTATTTAATGTTTTTTAAATTGCTTTTAAATTTTATATGTTATGTTTTACCATGGCTGTTCACCGCCCTGAGTCCTGTTGGAGAAGGGCGGTATACAAATAAAATAAAATAAAATAAAATAAAATAAAATAAAATAAAATAAAAATAAAATAAAATAAAATAAAATAAAATAAAATAAAATAAAATAAAATAAAAATAAAATAAAATAAAAAAATAAAATAAAATAAAATAAAATAAAATAAAATAAAATAAAATAATAAAATAAAATAAAATAAAATAAAATAAAATAAAATAAAATAAAATAAAATAAAATAAAATAAAATAAAATAAAATAAATAAATTTAGCAGGTTCTGACAGGTTCTGGAGAACTGGTAGTGGAAATTTTAGTAGTTTGGAGAACCAGTAAATACCACCTCTGACTGGTCCCAGAGTGGGTGGGAATGGAGATTTTGTAATATCTTTCCCCCAGGAGTGGGGAGGGAATGTAGATTTTGCAGTATCCTTCCCCTGCCATGCCCACCAAGCCACGCCCACCAAGCCACACCATACCCACCAAGCCACACCCACAGAACCAGTAGTAAAAAAAATGAATTTCACCACTGCTACAGAATTATATCTGTTTGCTGAAATTTTATATTTCTAAGGAAGAGAATAATTTCTTATAGTAAGTTAATGAGAAATTGAGATATAAGCATATATATTATATATTATATTTATTAAATTTTTATACCGCCCCCTCTCCCGATGGACTCGGGGTGGTGAACAGCCAAGATTAAAAAACATACAATATAAACATTAAAATACATTTAAAACAAAATTAAATCCAAAATGGCTCCCCAATTTAAAACGCCTTACCCATAACCCTATAATTAAAGCAAATTTAAAATTTCCACATTAAAAGGGGGAAGATTTAGGCCAGGCCAGCTTGATGAAATAGAAGAGTCTTAAGCGCGTGGCAGAAGGTGCGCAGATCCGGGATCCTCCGTATCTCCGGGGGGAGCTCGTTCCAGATCGTAGGTGCCCCCACAGAGAAGGCTCTCCCCCTAGGGGCTGACAGCCGACATTGTTTGGCCGATGGCACCTGGAGGAGCCCCTCTCTATGGGAGCGTACTGGCCGGTAGGAGGCTATTGGTGGTAGCAGGTGGTCCCGTAAATAACCAGGTCCCGTAAATAACCAGGTCCAAGCCATAGACCTATCTACCATAGAGATAGATTTTTTTAAAAAGAAATCAAAACTTCCCATTCAAAAAAAACATTTTTGTATTCACATGGTTGCAATAATAAAATATCAATAAACAACCTGAAGCACAAAAGTAAAATTATAGCAGCATGGATATGATCTTTGATGTATCCAAAGCTACAGATCTTTGAGTGTAGGGTAACAACCAAATGGTGGATCCCCATACTTTGAAATGTTACACAGGTCCTACAGCAGAACCATACAATAGCTGTTACAACATCTATTATCAGGTTTAGAATGAGCTATACCAGGGGTCTCTAACCTTAGCAACTTTAAGCCTGGCGGACTTCAACTCCCAGAATTCCCCAGCCAGCTGGCTGAGGAATTCTGGGAGTTGAAGTCCTCCAGGCTTAAAGTTGCCAAGGTTAGAGACCCCTGAGCTATACTGTATCTGCTCTGCAGTTCTCTATAGTTCTCTCCTTTTTGAAACACCAGAATAAGTTTTCTGAAGGCTTACACTTCTAACAGTATTTAGAAAATGATAGTAATGTTTGCATATTATATTTCTTACTTTCAAACTACTGTTCTGAATGCATAAACCTCTGAATTTGAAGTCCGTGGATGATAATGAGATTAATATACCAGAAGGGACAGTGAGCAGATGTATAAGAAACAGCAATATTAAAAGTATCAGGTTAATGTTTTGTACCTGACCTACCAAAAGTATGCATCTCACTTTTTTATTCTTTTTTTTTCCTAAAATGAGTTATTAAAAATTCTTTGCTTTCAAACTTTCTTTTTCTCTTCTTTCTGTCTTTTGAAAGCTCATCGGTTTTACATCCTGGAATAGCACTATCCTGCTAATACATTGCGATGAGTCTTACAGATGCATCTGATGAAGGAAAAACACCAAGGGACTTTAGGCTTTTCCTCATTCTGATTCAGAAGTTATCTACTGGAAGGAATTTTTCCCCCCAGAAAGGTATAATTCCTAAAGTAGTATATATTAAAATAATGGCTATGTCATTTTATTGCCATCCAGAGATGCAGCAAATTCTTTCCCATCAGAAAGATATACATTTTGTTACTTTAGCAATGTAGCATCAGTGCTTTTTTTCCCCCCTGCTGCATTTGGTTTAGCAGAATCATGTCTAGAAGCTAATCAGCCCAGAGTAGTGTTCCTTATCTTCTATGTAGGAACTACAGGTGCAATGAAGGTTTGTTCAGTGCTAAAGGGACATAAAAATTCAGCGCTTGTTTGTCAGTCCAATGAAATAAGTAATGCTTGTGTTCCATTAAGTCTTTGTGAGTGACTGTTTCAAGCCTCTTTTGTACGCAATTTCCATTTGTACGCAATTTACTGATCATCTGGATGATGCCCATATCATTTAATCAACAGTAAAATAATTACAGGGGTTTTTTTTCCCCTGCTTTTTATGCTGGATTTATATGTCTCCAGAAAATTACCTAATTCATGGCATTGTTAAAATGTCCAGAGACTTCAAATGTATCTCCTACTTGACTAATTATTCAGTGTTTTTTGTGCTCAAGGCTTTTAACTGCCCAAACAGTTATATGCCAATGGCAAAACATCTGTTAAATGTTCCATCATATGTGCAAAGCATGAGTCAATGAATCATTCTATGCATTTCACTCTCTGTTGTTTTTCTCTCAGAAGCCGAGTTTCAAGTCTATTTTAGCTGCTAGACATATCTGGAATTTCTTTACTAACATCACAAAATGTCTGCCTTTGAATATACTCAAAAGCATCATGGCTATATATCATTTTGCAGATAGGGACAAAGTTATCCCAAAATTGCACACACAACACATACATACTGACTCTCATCCCAGGGATTGCTTCATTTCCTATAATATTTCCTGGAGCTCCCCATACCATTTCTTCTTCCTAGTTAAGCTCCAAACACTGTCATTTTGTTTTCCTTTACTGGCTACATTCACAATGTACATATTTTTTTTACTGAACGTGTTTTGCAGGTCATACAAAGATGCTAAGCCACAAGAAAAACAATGAAGGATAAAACTGAAAACTTAGTATTAGTGTGAATGCAGTCACAAGATCCTTAAGCTCGTTGATAGTATAATAGAATTCTTTATTGGCCAAGTATGATTGGACACACAAGGAATTTATCTTGGTGCATATGCTTTTGGTGTACGTAAAAGAAAAAATACATTTGTCAAGAATCATAAGGTACAACACTTAATGATAGTCATAGGGAAACAGTCAATATAAATCTTAAGAATACCAGCAACAAGGTTACCGTCTTACAGTCATAAGTGGGAGGAGATGGGTGATAGGAACAATGACGAGATTAATAGAAATGCAGATTTAGTAACTAGTTTCACAGTGTTGAGGGAATTATTTGTTTAGCAGAGTGATGGCGTTCGGGAAAAAACTGTTCTTGTGACTAGTTATTCTGGTGTGCAGTACTCTATAGCATCGTTTTGAGGATAGGAGTTGAAACAGTTTATGTCCAGGATGCAAGGGGTCTGTAAATAGTTTCACAGCCCTCTTTTTGACTAGTACAGTATACAGGTCCTCAATGGAAGGCAGGTTGGTAGTAATTGTTTTTTCTGCAGTTCTAATTATCTAATTAAACATAATGTTACATCACTCACGCTCTTTCCCAGTTGTCACCAATTATTCAGTTAGTCTTGTTGCACACAAAAAATGTAAACACACAAAAAAATGTGAAAACTAACATGAACTAATGAAGAGTAAAAGAAGTAAAGGAAGGAAGGAAGGAAGGAAGGAAGGAAGGAAGGAAGGAAGGAAGGAAGGAAGGAAGAAAGAAAGAAAGAAAGAAAGAAAGAAAGAAAGAAAGAAAGGGAAGAAAGAAAGACTACAAAAACCAAGGAAGTAGTTAAGCTTCTGTGGAACCTAAGAGTATTCTGTGGAATTATGATGTCACATACTTAAAACACCAATAGTGTTATTCTAAAACCAAGTCTAATAAGGATACAAGGATACTACTCTTAGAGAAGCTAGTTTTATTGTAGGTACCATAAAAGATGTAAGTATCACAAAAACTAACAATTCAAAAATAAAATAAGCATACATACATAGTCCCAAGGTTCAGATCTTATGATTTTTTCCTCCTATTTATGCTTGCTAAAGAATTATGAAGAGAAGAGGGAAGGGCAGTTGACACTTGTGCATCATTATAGTATTGGGACTGTCTGATTTTTGCCCTTTGGATCTGACTATGGCCTTCTACCATTCACATTACCTCTTTCTCTATTGCCTCCTTATATCTCTCTCTTGGCCATGGAAATGCCAGGAACTTTAGACTTCTCACATACTCTCAGGACATGGGGTTCTCTATCTGTGTAGGCTTGTGATTATTTCCTCTCTCCTTCCATCCCAAGAAAATAAAGTGGGACAAGAAATCACAATTTCTTTCCTCCAGAAAGCAAAACTCCAATGCAGGTGCATCCTGTTGAACAAATTTTCCAACTCCGAAAAGTGAGGGAAAAGAGAAAAGGGGAATTTTCATCTCTTCTTGTAATAAGACAGCGAGCATGAATTTTCCATCCCAAGCAGAGCATCAACTACAACTACTCTCAATCCTGAATTCTTATCCACAGCTTTGGGTCAGGGGACTGAAATAGTATTCATCTGGTCCTAAGAACAAAGAACAGGCAAGAGGAATGTTCCATCCTTCTTTTGTTTTCTTCAGTTATTCTTTTCTGTTCAAAGTTTCCCTTTGCAGCTTCAGGAAGGAGGGATCCACATGCTCATTGAAAGTGCAACAACACTCCCCCAAGTCTAGTTCCTTTCTCCTCAGTATTTAAGGAACTGGTAGTTGCAAAAAACAAAAAACAAAACAGAATATTAAAAGTCTATGGAGATTATCAGTCATCCAGGACATGGTCATCCCAAAGGTGCTTTTTCAAGAGGCAAATGGACAGAACTGAAAAAGCTTCTTGGATGACAAGAAAACATCTTCAAAGAAAGACCAGAAAGTTCAGTTGCTTCTTGAAAAAGCACCTTTGGGATCTGTCATACACATTTGAACATCCTGATATTGAACATCATAATATTCTGATATTATGATGTTCAATATCAGGATGTTCAAATGTGTATGACTACCAATTGTAGAAGCTGGGGAACGTGGAGATTTGACAGGTCAGCTAGGACTTCAGATATTTGGCCTGCTGAATTTCAAGGAGAAAGGGAGACATTGTCAGTTTTGGAAGCAGTGAATCAACTGGCCCCACTGAATACATGCAGAAGTGGGCTGCTGCCAATTCAGACTGGTTCGAGCGAACCGGTAGTTCCGACCACCAGCTGGGTCCGCCCACCAACCCCGGTGCTATCCCATCCTATATATCTCACTCTCTGGCTCGCTCACCCTGTCCACACAGCCCAGCTGATTTCCACGCTTCACCTGCTCTACTCACTGTGGCTGCCTGAGAAGGTGTGCTGGAAGCCACATGCAGGAAATCGCTATGTGATTCAAGCTGCGCGCAAGCGCGGAATGCGTGTGAGTGAAGTGAGTGTGCATGCAAGTGAAGTGAGTGCGTGAGTGAGCACTCACATTTTTGATTCTGCACTAGGCGAACCAGTTGTTAAATTACATGAAGCCCACCTCTGAATACATGGACTATGGATCTCAAGCCAATCTGACCCCAATAGTATAGGGAAATGCAAACAGGAAATCAGAAAAAATAGCAAAGGTTGTTGATGGTCATAGAGGGTGAGAAAAGGAACTGTAGTCAGAAATTGGCACAGATCACAGAAATTTTCTGTCTGTGTTTTTAGCTCTTAATGGGGATTTACGGGCTGTCTGGACCTGGAGTGCAGAGGGAAGAATCTATGAAGAGTCCATTAGGATAGTAGGTATGTCTTTTTTCAGTAGCACCCTGAAAAATATTATCCCTTTGGAAATTAAGATGACTGCTAGTCTTTTGTAAGATATTAAAGGTCTGGACCTAGGGCTCCAAGTGTGTGAAGCCTCTCTCCTAGTTTTTAGTCAGTGTTGATTTGATATCTTCCTGTACTGCTCTTTATTTTAATTTTTATATTGCTAGTTGTAATTGCCTTTAATTTTAATTTTGTTTGCTGCCCAAATTTACTTGCTGAGATGGACAATTGTATAAAATGATGAAATCAATACATTAAATAAATGCCTAAAAGTACCTTATAAAATCAATCCGGGTGTGAAGAATAACTGGATTAACCAAATGTCTGTGCTTAGCATCATAACCATTCTTAATTTTCAGATGCTCCCATCCAAACTCATTTTTTTAGAATGGGGGAGGGGAACTATCTCATTTCCCAACAAGTTGGTTCTAGGACATTTAGAGCCACAGCTTGGAAAAATGCCTCAATTTTTCAAAATGACAGAAGTAAGCAATTGCTTGAGATAGAAGTTAATAAGGCAATCCTGGGGGAAAAAAATAACTGAATTCAAATGGTGTTTGCATCTGCTAGTCAACAGCAGAGCTTTACTGGCTCTTATGTCGATGGGCTGAGCATTTAAGTCTCTGATGAATAACCATGGGTTAGGAGAAGATATGCTGTTATACTTCCTCAAATCTTCCATTCTGTTGAATTAGTTTGTATCATATTTCAGGAGAAGGGTCCTTTTTAAACTGGCTGACTACGGTTAGTTTGTTTTAGCCCACATCCTTTGCAAATGATAGTCAGCCACATATGCTGACTCAGTGTTTACAATGTTGTAAATGCTGGATCTCATGATTAGCTGTCAAGCAGCACTCAGACTGGCTATGAAGTTTGTGTAATTATCTGTGCCTGAGCTGTTCAGTTGCAGAACAGGGACCAATGTAAAGTGATACAGTGCCTTTGGTCAAACGACCAACCATAAATTCTACCCTGGAGCTATTTATGAAAAAATTGCCCAGACTTAAGGAGATGTATAATTTGCATCGAGTGATGAAAGTCATAAACACTCCAGAATTTCCATCATACTTGTCAGGCAAGGCCTGGGTGAGTAGCTACAGTTGTTGTTGCTATGGCATCATGCACTTGACCAAGAAGCGATGCTGCAGCAGCAGACAAGGGCCTATTCTGGCTCATCTGCTCTGCTAATGGGTTTGCTGCTTGGAATAATTAGTCCATCTGAGCCACTTGGATGCTGGAATACTGTAAAAGATGCTGGTGACTTGGTCCACAGTCAACAAAGCTGCAAGTATGCTGGTTGCTATGGTCTGGGTCTAGGAACCGGACATTATTTTTCTTCTTATAACAGTATGTGTAGAACTCTCTGGTTTTACTGTTGAGCTTCAGCCAGTCTGTTATTCATATACAAAGGCAAGCAGGCATAAATTCAAGATAACACTTTTGACAAGCTACTTTGATTGCAAATACTAAACAAATCATAATTCAAACCATCACCTAAAAGCTTATCCCTCTCTGTTTATCTTCATCACTCATCCACTCATCCTTTCTGGTTGGAGAGGAGTCCTGGAAAAAAATCCAGGATTTCTTTCCAGCCAGGTGAACTTATATTTCTCTGCCTGAAGGGAGTTGACATCTGATGAGTGTTGTTATAATGGACCTAGTTCTCGTGTTCTGATTTTGATTTTATTATCCCCATACCAGGATAACACTCCAAACCATTTCAGACACTATCTCTTCCCCTAAATAAAAACAAATAACCAGTATGAGAATGGAATTTTGGAAATGCAAGAAGACGTGGACATAAAGGTACTTCTGAGCACTATCTTATTTTTATACTATGTACTTTATTGTGAGTTCACCCAATAGCCATCCTCAATGAAAAAGAACCTCTATGCAAATCCCATTTTCTTTATTCTACCTTCTTTTTTGCCTCTCTTCTTCTCAACCTCTGAAAAACAGATGGTTTCAGACTCGAAAACACCATTATTTTTACCTACAGCAGAGTAAGAAATATGCCAGCTTTTGAAATGGGAAACATGGCAGAGAGACAAAGAGAAGTCAAAATAATGCAGATGACTTCTGCAGTACCAAAAGCATTTTAGTGGCACACAATCCAATAAATTGTTCATTTTTCTAACAAGCACTAGGTAAATGGATACCCATGGAAAACATAACATTGGGATTTTTGCTACATCTGAAGAAAAGGGAAGGTATTCTCAATGTGCACAGAGAAAGAAAAAACAGTACAAGACAAATGACAGATAAGGAGTAATAAATTTTGCTAAACTACTTAATGTACTTAATGGTTGAGGTACCTTAAAAAAGATACCTCAGTATGACGTTATGAATTTTCTTCGTTTGGAATTGGTTTCATCAGATGCATGAAATGATATGCTTACTTACATGTGTGTGAATGTTTGCATGTGCAGAAGGAAAAACATGGAAATGTATACATGAGGTGAGAAGAAAACACACTTGTTTGTTTATTCAATCGACAACACTTGTGTTAAAGCTAAGCTGTATGGAGAATGAGGGCTGTCTGCCACATGGCTAATTAATTTAGGAATACTAATATGTTTATGCAGTCATAAAGTATTAAATGACTACAGTACTTATTTTGCATAAAAGAAAAAATGGCCATCAAGCACAGATTGCACCCTTATCTCAAAATACAATAAACACAATGCTATTGCTACCTAAAGAAGAGAACTTAATTTGTTTCTGCTCTTGTGATACTTTACCATCACTCAAATTATTATTATTATTATTTATTATTTTTCATATTTGTATACCGCCCTACTCCCGAAGGACTCAGGGCGGTGAACAGCCATAATAAATACAAATACATATAGAAGTTAAAAACTATTTAGAAACAGATTAAGTAATTTAGGCTCGAAGATTAAAAAACATCCAAATTTATCTAAAGAGGTTTAAAACCCAATTTAAAAGCCAGTTTAAATGCATTAGTCTTCATGTGAATCCTTGATTTAATAAGATCCAACAATCATAGTGGCGGCTTGTGAATGGAAACAGGGAATCAATATTGGAAGCATTCAAATAAAAAGAATATTTGTTTTTTGTTTTTTTTAAAGCATCAAGAGGGCAGGAACCCAGGCAGATTCCAAGGACATATAGGGGAATCATGAGTATCAAGCCATCTACTCTCTTACCTTCTTGGAGCTTGCGTGTGGTCTTTACGTAACATTCTTCAAATTCCAGTTTGAGGGTCCCTTAAATGAATAGAAGCCATATGAAATAGTGATATCTTTAAAAAATTAAATAATATAGCATTGGTTTTCCCACTTCTTCCATTTCTAAATTCTAAATGTTAATGGGGCTGATAGAGACATCATTCCCCTGTTCTTATTCTTTGCATTTTATAGGGGATGCTTTGCTTTATTAAAGATGCTTCACAAAACAAAGTACAACCCTGGTTTAGTGGTGAAATCCAAATTTTTTTACTAATGGGTCTGTGGGTGTGGCTCGGTGGGTATGGTGTGGCTTGGTGGGTGTGGCTTGGTGGGTGTGGCTTGGTAGGCGTGGCAGGGAAAGGATACTGCAAAATCTCCATTCCCACCCCACTCTGGGGCCAGAGGTGGTATTTGCCGCTTCTCCAAGCTACTCAAAATTTCCGCTACCGGTTCTCCAGAACCTGTCAGAACCTGCTGAATTTCACCCCTGTCCTGGTTCCAAAAGCAAAGGGTACATAAATCATTATGTATAAAGGATGAACATAGGATGGCAAAAATGTATAAACTTTTGCTGAAATGTGAAGTGGAAGAAGAACAAGTTAAAGATTGCATTTTAAATGAACTAAGAACTTTGTTATAACATACAGATGGATCCGTGGGAAGGAGTGTACATAAAAGGATAGATATTTGTGTTGTGTTATAAATTAAGAGAGAATTTCATTTTATATGATGTACCATTGGTATATGACACCAGAGAAAATATCTAAGATATATAAAAATACATCTGGTTAATGATGGAAATGAAGGGGCGTTTTACCAGACATGGTGGACTTGTGAAAAAGCAAAAAAAAAAAAAGTTTGAAAACATTTGATGATACAAAGAGTTTTGCAGATTAATACTGAGATGAAACCAAAACTTTTCTTTCTGGGGCTTATGGATACTCAATTTGAAAAGGCTTAAAGAAGATTGATTTTATTAATGGCATAACTGCAGCAAGATTATTATATGCACAAAGATGGAGAAATATTGAAATACCCACAATGGAGGAATAGATTGTAAAGATTGCAGAATTAGCAGAAATGCCAAAACTGATCTACCTGGTCAGGGATAAAACAATATCTAATTCAGTTAATCATGGTTATAACAGCACAATCTCAAATAAAGGTTCTTAGATGAATCAGATTCAGGCATATTCATTGGGACTTGGAAAGTAAGTATTCCATTCATGGAGTTCACTGTAAAAGAATAAATACCATGGCCATAACTTATTTTCAGTCGTAGGATCATTACATTAAACCTCAATTTAGGACAGCAATTGGGATCAGAATTTCTGTCACTAAAAGGTAAAGCATAACTGAAGGCAGTCCCTGGAGATCCAATTGCCATTTTTAACCAAATCTCATAGTCATTAGGCAACTTCCCTAAGGCAACCTTCTGCCAACTTCTCACAATCAAAGTCAGTGCTGAAATTGGCAGGAAATCCCAGGCTGTTAGGCACGTAGTTACTGATGTTGGGTGGAAGAGGCAGCAAAGGGACATGTGGGGATGTGGAAGCAGGGCAGCAAGGATTGGGGATGATGTGCAAGGGCATGTGCAACATTTGTGGCATGGGTTGGGGAGGAGACACGGAGAGGCATAGCAGGGGTTAGGGAGGGGGCACAAGAGGCACAGCAACGGTCAGGCAAGGTGTACGAGGGTAAGGCGCACAGGATGGGAAAGATATGCATGGGGGTGCAAATGCTGAGGTGGATTGAGATGGGCTGAGAGAAGAAACAAGGGTTAGAAAGATTCCTGTGACTTGTGACTTTTCCTGCCAGCTTCCCCATTAACTTATTGGGAGAACTATCTGGGAAAGCTATAAATAGTAATCATGGAGGGTTGCAATCAGTCGTAAGTGCAAATAGTTTGCCAAGTGCTCAGATTGCAATCATGTGACCACCAGGACACAGGGATGGCCAGAACTCTTGAGGACTGGACATAACCCCTGTTCATTCAGTGCTGTCATAATGTCAAATAGTTGCTTAACAAATGGTCATAGGTCAAGAACTACCTGTACTGTATAGGAGAGAAAATGACAGTTGTCAGCCAGACAAACAGGAATACACAAAGCCAAGTTCTTTCCTAGCTTCCAAAGTAATTGTTTAACACCAGTGGTGAAATCCAAATTTTTTTACTACCAATTCTGTGAGCGTGCCTTGGTGGGCGTGCCTTGGTGAGTGTGGCAGGGGAAGGATTTTGCAAAATCTCCATTTTCACCCCACTCTGGGACCAACAAGAGGTGGTATTTGCCGGTTCTCCGAACAACTCAAAATTTCTGTTACCGGTTCTCCAGAACCTGTCAGAACCTGCTGGATTTCACCCCTGTTTAACACCCATGATAATTGCTGAATCTTTGATGCACTCTGAGCTTGGTTGTTTTCTTGCAGATGTTTCATTATCAAACTAAGTAACATGATCAGGGCTAGTAGGGAGTGGGGTTGCCCTGAGAGGAATCCCCACTCCTACTAGCACTGCTGACGTACCGACTTTAATAATGAAACATTTGCAAGAAAACAACCAAGCTCAGAAAGCACCAAAGACCCTGGTTCAACCCTGATCTATAAATATTTGCTTCTATCTGTATCCATGATAATTACTTTCTAAGCAACTCCATATAAAACTTAAATGAGCTGTCTTTTACTAACTCAGTCAAGTGCTTCCCTGCCAAAATCCGAACAAACTGGGGGTTTTCTTCATTCTTTCAAAAAAAGAAAATATTCTTTGTTTTTTTATAACAAAAAGTTATAGTGCTGTCACATTATAACAGAACAGATTAATCCTCAAGGTTCCCAAGAAATGAACTTTGTAAAAGGCAGAAGGAGAAGAGTTTTTAACATCCTTGATAAAGAACCTGGGACCAACGCTCTTTGAGGTAGGCAGCAAACCTTTTGCAGACACCTTAAGACTCAGCTCTCCATTTCTCTTTGACACTTGTGCCTATCCGCTCACACTTGATTTTTCCCACCACCTTGCAGGCTGGAAGCCAATTTGCAGCTTTTTAACTACACAAGCTGGGGAATGAGCATTCAATTTGCAAGTCCTTAGATGCAAAAGTAGTAACAGGCTATGTCTGTCTAGGATCAAAAATTCACAGGAATAGTGACTGTGAAAGAAAGAGACATCTGTTATTTGGAAGAAAGACTGCAATAGATCTAGACAAAATATTAAAGTGCAGAAACATATCGATAACAAAAGTATGCATTCTCAGGGCCTAGTTGTAACACAGAGTTGTGAATGGTGGATGTTCAGAAAGGTTGAACAAAGAACATTTGATTCCTTTGCAAATGGTGCTGGAGAAAATTGCTGAGAATATTTTGGACTAGACGAACACCAAATACTTTTATATTGGATGAAGTAAAAGCTGGTTGTTCACTAGGAGAACTAATAATAAAGCTAATATTTAGATATTATGGATACCTAACATGAAAGGAACAGTCCCTTGAGAATTGAAGAAAAGCCTCTTAGAAGACAAGGTGGCTAGAGACTGTTATTGATGTCACGAGTAGGAGCAAACAAGACCCCAAAGAAAAGGTGAAATGAAGTAACTAAAGAACAATGAAACAATTCAAACGAAA